CATGGGTTGACAGAGTGAATGATTTTGTGCACCTAACACACAGACAGCATCAGGTATTTGCTATGGGAGAGCGGAAGAACTCGAAATCCAGACACAGCCTGGCTAAGCAGGAACGCAGAGCCTCGGCGAGACACGCTCCTGCACACAGACGGAGAGGCAGTGTCCACGGCAGGCCACAGGAGCCTCACTGAGCGAACTCACGGAAGAACCAATTCCCACGGAACAAGGCCATCCGAGACAGGTTTGCAGAGAAGGCGGCCCCGAGCGGGTCCTGAAGGAATGTGCAGGATTTATGTACAGGTCGGGGAGCGGGGGCCGTCCCGGACAGAGCAAGCCCCGGCAGCAGACCCAGAGGCGCTGCTGCAAAGACAGGTGCAGACAGGCTGGGAGGGGCTCAAATGGCAGGAGGAGGGTTCTGGCTTTTGGCTTTTGTAAAACTAAAGAATTAATGTTTTTGAACAGGGTAAAGAACCAGAAAGCCTCTACTGCAGAACTAACCAATATGTATGCACATTCTTAGGCCCATATCTATAAAGCCAGAAATAAATTCTATCTGGCAACAGCTCTGTAAGCCCAGTGAGCAGATGGTGGCCGTGTGGAGCCCAGGATGACAGATGCACATGGGGATGAAACTTCTTTTTGAAGGAAACCAGGATGTCTCTAGCTAAGTTGACTCGAAAGGCACTAGCCTGGCTAGAAGCAGCCCAGCCCAATATATATGCAGCCACAGAATGATCTGGCCCTTCTGCTTTAATGCCAGACCCCAGACTATACTCTGACCAGGACAAATTTGAAGCAGTTTACTGCTCATGCCTCCTCAGCTGCAGGGTTTGCTGGAATCCTGGTTTCCAAGTTGGGTGTGAGGCTGTTACCCTGGTTCCCACGTTCCTCCAGAGACTATTCCATCCACTCAGAGCTGACAGGGCTCAGAGAAGGGCCTAAAGGGTCTTTTAACTAAATGACACAGGAGGATGACTATCTGGAATGACCCTCTGACCTCGCTGGCCAGCAGCCACAATGACCCTCTCTCCTCACTGCAGCCAGGTTCACAGTTTGCCATCCCTTTAATCCAGAGAGATGCTCAATAGCCTTTGATTAAAAAACAGTTGCCTTCCAGGGTACACAAAAAATTGGAAAGATATTCCATGTTCAAGGATTAGAAGAATTAATATTGTTAAAATGTCCCTACTACCCAAAGTGATCTACAAATTCAATGCAATCCCTATCAAAATAACAATGACATTCTTTTTTCTTTTTCTTTTTTTGGGAGAGGGGAAGAGAGGGAAGGGGAGTGGGAGGGGGAGGGAGATTGACAATGACATTCTTAAGGGAAAAAGGAAAAGCAATCCCAAAATTCTTATGAAACCACAAAATACCCCCAAGAGCCAAAGCAATCCTCAGCAGAAAGAACAAAGATGGAGACAACATACTACCGATTTCAAAATATACTACAAAGCTATAGTAATAAAAACAGCATGTTATTTGCACAAAAACAGACATAGAGACCAATGGAACAGAATAGAGAACCCAAAAGAAAATCCACACATTTACAGCCAACTCATTTTCAACAAAAGTGCCAAGAACATACAATGGGGAGA